CCGGGGGAGCCGCAGCTGGGAGGCCAAGGCTCCTCGCTATGGGCCGGGGGTCCCGGAGAACTCAGGGTTCGCCGGTGCTGCTGCTGCTCCTGCCGCTGCTGCTACTGTGGCCTGTGCCAGGCACCAGGGTGCTTCAAGGTGAGGACGTGAGGGGGCGGGAGAGCTCCCTGAAGGGAGGCTGGGTGGTGATGGGTTCTGCTCAGAGTTGGGGTTGCAGCTGGAAGGCCTGACACTCCTGAGATCCCATGGCTAGGACTGGGCTTGGAGAGGGCTTTGGTCGCCCTGATACCTGCCCAGGGACTCTCATCTGTTTGGGGGCTGGCCCTCGCTGGACTTGCCCTCACTGCCCGGCTTCCACTCCAACGCTGGTTGAGCAGAGGGGCATGGCCCCTTCCACTCTCAGCAGCTGCCCAGCCCCAAACCCCTCTGTCCAATTCTCCACTCTCACAACCTCCCAGCCCCCTCCCACCAGGGTGAGCCACCCCTGCACGTCAGCCCCTTAGGGTTCACTGGGTCTCCTTCCAGGAAGCCCCCAGGCCCACTGCCCCCTTCCAGTCTCTGCTTTGCCCTTATGCTGCAGGGCTGGCTGGGGCCTCCTCCCCACTCACTCACGTCTCCTCACAGCAGGGCTTCGGGGCAATGTGTCCATTCTTTATAGGGTTGCCTTGTTTGGCTAGTTAGAGAAGGACTTCTCCAGGCGGGAGGTGCCCACGTAGCAGCACCCTGGGAAGACTGCGGTGCTGTCTCCCGTCTCTAGCTCCAGGCTGGTGCTGTTCAAACTGCTGCAAGTGGGTGGGAGGATTAGCCAGGCCTGCACATCCCGTGCCTGGCAGGGACAGGGAGGACAGTCAGCCAGGAGGTGCCTGGGCTCAGCTGGGCTGGGCAGCCTGGGGGCTGTGGGCTCTGGTTCTGCTCTCTGTCTTTGAGGACAGTCCCTAGGCATTCAATTGCTCCCTTCTTTGAAGCCCTGGCCTGGGGCCAGTGGAGTGCTATGAGACCCCCTAGGAGTCTCTGTGTACCCCCAAACCAGGCTTGCTCTCTCAGTTTGTCTCCACCTCCCTAGTCACCCCAGCTCCATCTCTGTTCTCCTCTCTCATCAGGGTGTCAGTGGCCAGCTCTGGTGTGCACCCACATCTGCGCATGGGCACACCCTTCCTCCTCTCCCCCATAGAGGCCTGGGACCAGTGAGGCTCAGTTCTCCACACCCAGTTAAGTCCCCTCTGGGTTGAGAGACCTCCCGCTCCCCCTTGCCCAGATCCACACATATCTCCACATTGGCCCCTTGAGCTGCCTTTCCAGGCAGTAGGTTCCCTCTTCCACCCCCGTCTGCCCGATGGCAACTCACTCATCCAGTTCAGGAGGGTTTCTTGGGGAAAGAGGGCTCCTGGAGCTGCTGTCCCAGGTGGATGATGCCTGGGGTCTGGGAGAGATGAAGGACAAAAAGGGAGAAGGAAGGGGGAGCTGAGCTTCCAAGGGGAAGCCTCAGCTGGAGCAGGCTCAGGGCCTGGGGCCTGGCTCCTGCAGGGTGCGCCTGACAGAGCTGCTGGGGCCAGTGGGGGGAGCATTCCAGGGGAGCATTCCAGGCGCTTTCTGAGTAATGCTTGGCTCTGGGATTCCTCCCAGAGCCCCGTTAGGCACACTCAGCCCGGAACACTGAGGCTCTGCCTCCCAGTCACCCCTCACCTTGAAAACACGAGGAGTGGGCTTCTGAGCCAAGGTCCCGGGGAACCCTGCCACCAGCGCCAAGGACCCCTGAGGAGCTCTGTCCAGGCGGACCTCCAGGACAAGGTCTGGCTGTTGTTTTCCTCAGATGGAGGAGAGCCACAGGCAGCCTCTTCACAGGGCTCGCCCTCTAGGCATCTGCTGCCCGGTCTAAAAATACCCGAGGCCCTCTCCACCTGCCTTCCCGTTTGCACTGGGGCCTTGTCCTCTTCCTTGTGACCTCGATCCCAAGCCCATTCCCACCTCCAAGGGTCAGGTGGCTCCCACATCCTCGGCTGACTGTCCCTTCCCAGGCTCCTCTGTCTCTCTGCCGCCACCTCCCTGGAGGCTCCTCAGTTCTGAGGAATGCCCGTGGGTGTTCACCCTTCTAAGCCCGTCCTCAAGGCCTCCTGCCCTCCCTGCTGGTGTCCTCTGACCCCGTCCCTCTGCTGAAGCTCCTCTTCTATAGTCCTGGAGTCCCTCTCACCCTGTGCTCTGTCTTCACCCCAGGAAACACCCCTGGAGAACCGGTCACTCCCTACTGGGTCCTGGATGGACACCCCTGGCACATGGTCACCCTGGAGGAGCTGGTCAGTGCCAGGTTGCCCTGTGCTCTGCAGGGTCCCTGGGTCCCCATACCTCTTGCCCCTCCCCACATTACAGTGTGGCAGTTTTGCTGGGGTCCCCAGAACCCCCTGAGTCACTTCCTCAGGTCCCTCCCTCTGGGCTGGCAGCCGGGGGTGGGGGCGGGGGACATCAGATCGCGTGAGCCACACACATGGAAGTCATTTTTGGCTTCCTCTGCCCCACTCCCTCCTGCCTCTCCCTCCCTGAGTGATCTGGGTTACCCCCACCCCCACCAGGCCGAGGCGGGTCCAGGGTTTGTGGGGCCTGCAGCCTTTTAGGAGATGCTTTAAGAAAACACCAAAACGTCTCCCTTTTGCAAAGTTGATCAGGGCATGAGACCCTATGTACGCATTGCTGTCCCTCCCTGGGCCCCGCCATGGAGGGGCCTAAACCTTTGGCCTTCCTGGCTCATGTGAAATCCACTTCTGGCAAGCTCCACCCATTGGAGGTTCTCTAAGACTCTCTGCCCTGCTTCCTCCCAACTCCTGCCTGTCTCTCACAGTTCACCCTTCCTGTGTAACCACGCCCACTCTGCGGTGGTATCAGTGTGGCAAACCGAGAGGCTGGTTGCCTTGGTATGCCCATTTCACAGAGAGCAAATGGAAGTACAGAGAGGTTGGGGAAATTGCCCATGGTAACACACCTCTTTAGCCTGGGAACCTGAAATCTGTTACAGTCTGAAAGACTAAACCATTGGCCAACCCCTTGCCAAGCCCAGGGAGTCATCTTCATTTTTAACATCCAGGCAAGAAAACACAGCCTGTCCACGCCCAGCGAGGAGGAGGGCAGACCGTGCTGTCATGAAGGCTGGGAGGCCCCAAAGCGCCAGCAGCTCCCCACTGACACTGATGGGCCTGCACTGGGGTCCCCCAGACCCTTGGAGCCTCCATGCAACTGGCCAAACACAGTGCTGGCCTGAGCTGTGAGCTCATTCTTGACATACCCGATGGAGAGGAAGACTGGGCACATACTGGGGACCCCTTGACCATGGGCCTCCCTCCTGGTCTGGCCTGGGCCTTGGCCATAAAGGGAATCTCAGAGGAGCCCTGCTTCCCTCATTTATGGCAACTCCCCCAGGAAGCCTGCTGAGCCTAGACAGGAGACAGAGTTGAGGCATCCTCTCCACCAGGCAAACACTCACATTTCAGGATGGGATGGATTATGTGAGGGCCTGGATCACCTGGAGGGCAAGAAATGAACACGGCAGGAGCCGCAAAAGGATAGGCACCCAGTGTGGCCTTCTGTTTGGGCAGCTGCCTTTCTGTCAGTAAAGCAAGTGGCATTTCCGCTGTATGAGCTCATGCTGGGGGCCTCACAAAAAGCTGTGTGTCCCCTACCTGCAGAGTAAAGGCCCCTCCAAGACTCAGCCCCTTGGCCAGGGCCCCAGCCCAGTGCATTTTGGGATAAATGGGGAGGAACAAACATTCCAAAGATACAGCAGCCCCCCCAGAAAGCTCCTGGGTCCACTCCAACACTGGGCCCCCAGCCAGGCTGAGTGAATGGGTGTGGGGGGAAGATGGGGTATCCCACAGGGTGGACACAGCAGACAGGGTGGAAGAGGAGAGACACCCAGCCAAGGAAGTCAATGTTTTCTCTTGGCCTGGGACAGGGTCCATGTTTACTTGGAGAGCTCAGAGGAGCAGGTGTGAGGCAGGCCTGCAGAGGCCAAGGAACGCTTCAGAGGGGGGTAGTTTGCCAGAACTGGAGGTGGAAGAATAAAGTCTGAGTTCTACAGGGAATGAGGGGCTTCGAGGTACAGAAACAGGCCCCACCACAGAGGCTGTGAGGAGGCCCGGGCCGTGCTCCCTGAAGCCCCATGGTGTCCTGAGGACTCCACTGTCTTTTCCTGCCTTTAAAAAAAAAAAAAAAAAACGATTATTTTGGTACCAGCAGATGGCATAATAGTTACGTTGCTGGACTCCCACGTGGTCCACCATGATTTGAGTCCCAGACCTGGTGGCCTGAAACTCAGGCCCTGCACTTGTGTGTACATGCCCCAAATCTCCAGAGGAGAATGGAGGAGAAGGGACTGTGGCATGGCCATCTCCCCTGGGGGCTGATTTCTCACTTTCTGTCTCTCTGATAAGCATATGCACCTTATAGCAAAACTAAAATAAAAAATAAAAGATTATTTTATTTTTATTTCTTCCATGAGAAAGAGCAATGGAGAGAAAGACAGCACCTCTAACAGGGTGCTGATGCCACGATCCTCCCCAGCCTCAGCCAGCCCTGGATCATGGGCACACGTGTGCCCGGTGTACTTGGGGAGCTCTCTGGATGCAAACTCGGAACCATCCCATGTAGGATTGCCTCAAAGAGCTTTGTATTTTACTGGTGCAACATGGTCCAGTCTCTTCACCTGTTTTTTAAAGCTCTTTCTGGGCCAAGGGAAGTGACCAATAACTGGGAAAAGCAGGGCACCCGTCTGGAAGCACCTGGCAGGCTCTCCGTCACCTCGTTTTTTAAAGCTCTTTCTGGGCCAAGGGAAGGGCCCAATAACTGTGGGAAAAGCAGGGCACCCGTCTGGAAGCACATAGTAAGCACCTGGCAGGCTCTCCGTCACCTTGTGGCTATTGGAACTGCAGACATCCTGAGTTTGAGGACATTTCTTTCTTGTTTATTTTGTTTTCTTTTTCTTCTTTCTTTTTTTCTTTTCTTTTCTTTCTTTCTTTTTTCTTTTTTCTTTTTTTTTTT